AGTTTCCAAAGGTTACTTCATCGGCTGTTAATTGCCAAATCCACTTAAATCATTCTTCCGCTCCAAATACACTCGGGAACAGCCCTTAGAGATATTTTGCCATTTTGATCCCGAGTTACTTCGCAATCCAAAGATTTAACGAAATATGATTGCTGTATGCTTAAATAAAACTAAAATAAACTAATTGCTGTATGCTTAAATAAAAGTAAAATAATCTCTCTCTCTCTCTCTCTATTAAAACTTAAAATCAATCAATCTGCATCAGTGATTGATTTTAAGTTTTAATCATTAACGTGTAGCCCTGACTAGGAGCCTCGTAATTTCAGTGCTCGAATTTTCGTAATTGCTTTCACGAAGAAAACGAAGTTTTTATTATCAACTATAAGGAGACTATTTTTTCTATATTTGCAAACCGTTTAATTTAATGCTCAAGAGCAAAAATAAGTATCAAAGTTAACTAAAAAAATAATCTCCTATTTGAATCTTACCTATGGAAAAAGGTATTCTTTTTCTCATCCTTTTCTTTTTCCTTTCTTTTCTTTTTTAATTATTTTATTTATTTATTTACTTATGAATATCTTCATTAGATGACATCAAATTTAAAATTTAAAATACTTTGTGCTTAGTTACAGGGAGCATGACCTTTTTTTCGCGCACTATCCTCAAAGCTCATTTTAGGATAAGCTATTTCAGTTTAAAACATTTCAAGCATTATGTCACTTACTTTTTAGGTACATAAAGCTCCCCTTTCATACGAGGAGATATATAATATATCTCCATTTATAAATCATTTATTTGGTAATTTCTTCGTTTATGTGGTAACAGTTTACCAGAAATTCTGGTTTGTAAAATTATAGTTAACCACACATACAGTGAGAAATGCAAAATTGAAAATAAAATTGAACTGAATGAAGAGAGTCATTAGATTTTTTTAAATTTTATTTTCTGTTTTTACGTGTTATTTTTACTTATTGTGTTCTATTTTATTTTTTGTAATTTTTGTAAAAAAATTTTTGAGTGCTCCTCACACTATTGTATTAATATATTTTGCTTTGGCTATATTGATACAATATCAGAAAGCACTCTTTTTTGCGGATATAATCGTGTGGGCTGATGAAAAGATTATATCTTTTATTTTCCNCCATTGTCTTTAATTGTATTATCTAATCGATATTACAAAGATACGAGTTACAGCTTTTTAATTTATATAGATTATCTATGATTGGGATATATTCGATAGATATTTATAATATTATATGGTAAATATTTTATTTTAATAAATAATTCTTTGATATTTCCAACAAAAAAAATATACATTTCAAGTTAATATCTTGAAAGACTTCAAGTTATGCACTTTAATTTTAGAAATTGGATAATGTAAAACAATCGAACAGCATCACATATAAAACGAAAAAATAACGCGCATGCGCACTGTTTACTCTCTTGAACACAGTTGAAAAGTGTGATATATATATATATATATATATATATAAATGAAACAAAAAGTACTTTAAAACTTTTTTAAATTCCTTAATATTTTTGACATGAGGCATTTTTAACCATATCGATATTTTATTGAAAATCTTATCTATGGCTTTGATTTTAACTTTTATTTCACCAATTTTTAATTAAAGTAGCCCTTACATAAAAATGTTAAGAAATTAGTGTATCACCTCTCAATTGTAAAAAAAAATCAACTAAATATTATTAATTTAAATAATAAATTGCATGTTTTTTATTGGTCTGAAAAAAATCACGAATATAATTAGGTGAAACTGTGATCGTTAAATGTTTCCTTTTTGACTCATATGGTAACAAGGTCAAACATTTTTAACAATCGGTTCAGACAACAGTTATAATTTATAAGCTAAGTAGTAGTTTTTTTCGTAGTTTTTTTTCTTCAAAAAAAGAAAAAAAATGAATGCTGAGAAGGCACGGAGCAGGTATCCAATTTTAGAGGGGAATGAAATTAAAATAAATAGTCTCACTAGTTCTCTAAATTTCACAAATAACAAAAAATATTTCTTAAAACTGCTAAACATCTGCAAAAAGTTTAATTTCTTCCTTGATTTTACCATTCACGAGTTTAAATCGATGATGATTAATTAAAATTTTATTTGTTCGAAACATTGAGGGAGTCTTTAAAATGTTTCTATTGATTGAGGAAACTTATACCCACCTTCCCTTTCCCCATCAACAACGCCTATACAGGGTTTAATAACATTAAATCGCTTTAAAAATAAAATTTTATTTCTTTTGGAATTCATTTTATTAAATCAAAGAGTATAACAGCTGTTCAAGTGAAATTGTACCCCATGTTTACATGGAAGTCGATAAAAGTATTTTAATTTCATAAGAATATCTCTCGATCTTTCAGCTTAAAATTAATGCCAGAGAATTCTTAAGTTGATATTGCAAATTGTTAAATAACGAATAGCTGAAGTTGAAATTTAATTGTTTCTGCAATATTTTACATAAAAAGTGGTCTTAATAGCAACATCACTAAAATTTAGCACGAAATACATTAGGGAAATAGTAGCACGGAAGTTATAAAATAGAAATGCTCACAGGCTTACAAGTTTCTAGATGTTTCAAATTAATATTACATTGTCACTGTCTAATTTAGATGAAGCTCCTATTAAATCTTCGTGAATATGTAGACAATTATCATTAAATGTTGAAAATTACTTAGCTGTAGACATTTTTGCCTATCAACAACTTTGATCACGGTGACATATCTACGAACAACGTTTTCCGAGAAATGCACTGAAATCTGACATTCATAAAACATGGAGATCTAGGCAGTGGACTTTGGCATTTAAAGCTTTTAATCAGTCATAATTTCTTTAAGACGTCAAAAAACAACACATTTTTATAAAGTACTTGCTTCAAAAGTTATTTTCGGTGATATAGATAACGATGTAAAGAGGAACAAAGCTTATTGTTACTTATAAATAGAAAAAGGTACTATACTTTATAAAGACAAATAATTATTTGCTCCTAAATTGAGTGTAAACTTTTGAACAATTTTTTTTTTAAAAATCCATAACTATTGAACTTTATGTTTAAGATGAATAAAAAATTATCAAAATGATTTGTTAAAAATTCATTAAAAAAGTTTGAATTCCGAAAAGAAACAAAAGATCATCGAGTTTCTTGGAATTAAAATTTTTCTGATCAGAACAGCAAGCTAAGTATTGTCTTCACTATAAATGATTTGCAGTCCTTTTCTCAATGAATTTCTAAATTAATAATTGTTTTAATAGCATTTAATGTAAACAGAGGTAAATACAATTTTACACTGTCGTTTTCCTTGCTTAAACAACTCTAATCTTTTGTTTGACATTGTGAAAAAACTGAAAAAAATAAGTGAACTAAGAAATTGATTATAAAATATTTTATAATTAAAGTGGTTGAACGAAAAGAAATTAACACACAAATTTAAAAAAAAAAATTAGTTAACTTCTATTCTATGGTGCAATGACTTTGTAAGAGTTTTTTTTGCTACACCCAGATAAATAGTATAGTATATTGCATTTCTTACGAAATAAGCACAAGCATTATTTTATGAATATAAAAAATAGAATTTTTATTTATTTAACGTATCTCATATTAGTCTTAAACTTTTTATTTCTTCTTCAGCTCTGCTCGTTAGGAAATTTTATGTAGTTACTGAGAATTTAACCTTATTAACCTTATTATCTAAACTTTAAATTAAACTCGTTTTTTTCTTACGTTTATTTAAAATGGAGCAAATGTAAAATAAAAATATTTTAAATCAATCATATTGGCAATCTAAATTTCATAACATTATATAATTTTTTAAAAATAAATTACATCAGCCTTTTTGTCAATTTAGAAATTAAATATTTGCATTAAAAAATAATACATAAATAAATCTAAGTAAAAGTATGAAATAGAACATACAATTAAAGCGTTTAAAACAAAGCAATATTTATCCAGAAAATCTGTCCATTACAAAATTTTGGGAAGTATTTTCGATAGAATAAATAAAATAAAATAAAAATTATAATCCAAAATAATATTCCAAACAAAAAAAATGTGGCAAGCTTTATTCCGAATAACCGTTAATCATTCAAACCTCGAATTATTTCTTGCAAATAGGGAAAAAAATCGAACTTTTTAGTGTTAAAGTCTTTACTATAATTGGTTAGTAATCCTTTTCAATTGCCAGATTAAAAGATAATTGTTTTAATAACATTCAATGTAGGCCTCATCAGTTATGTATTAGCTAGTTATGTATTAGTTTTTCGATACGAAGCAAACGAAATAATTTATTTGAATGTGCTCTCGATATTTAAAACAAAGCGTTTAAAACAATGCAATATTTATGCAGAAAAATCTAACCACTACAAAACTTTGAGAAGTAGTTATGATGGAATAAATGAAATAAAACAAATTATAGTCCAAAATAATATCCCAAACAAATAAATCAGTTATCGAGTTTTAAGCTTTATTCCGAGTAAGCGTTAATTATTCAAACCTTTGATTATTTCTTGGAACAATCACTCGAAGCTCAGTAAAATAATATCCATTGTGGTGTGAAGAGCTTCTCTGGTATGCATAATAACAAATGCAATGAGACTGCAGTAGAAATAAAATTCACCTATGAGAAACAAAGAAAAAAAAATTCAAAAAGGGCGTCCCAGGTAACTTTCAGGGAAGGAAGAGGGTTGAATAGGAAAGACTAATAAATCACTCCCCTCAAATCATATCCCAATCTACAGAAATATCGTTTCTTTAAACTCCGCCCTCTATAGGACGAACAAATAAGTAGTGAACCAATCATAAGCCAGGAAAAAGAATGAGGGTAAGTGACAAGATGTGGTGGTAAAATCATTTTCCACTTGAAAAGTCACTCTGCGGGATCTTTTTTTCATCCAACTATGTAAAAGTTAAATCAAAATGTCTGTTCTTAAATCCAGTAGTTTTTCTGTGCGTGATATTTTGGACTTATCTGAAACTAAATCTCCTTCTAGTTTTCCATCAAGCAATGAAGTAGAAGAAAATTCTAATTATGGTGGACTTGATCACTTTTCAAGATATCTTCCAACAGACGCAACAACAAGTAAGTAGATTTTTACTTGTTGCTTTGATCATTTCATTTTGTAAATAATATTAGATATTAGAATTGTTGCATCATGCTCATGTATTTTCATATTTTAAAAAAGCTTGTTATATTCTTATTTTTACGGAAAACCTTAACTAGCAGTAACTTAGTAGTAATCATCAACAGTCGCATAAGAATCAGTCCAATGGTGAACCATAATATGGGTGCAGTGAATCATAATATTGGGCAACTTTTCTATAACATCCATAGAATGTTAAATTGAATCTTGTTTCTATTCAAGTTTATTGCGTAATCATCAAGTTTATTGCATAATCAAATTTAAGAAGTACATTAATAGAGTTCATCTTTGCATCATATTAAGTTGCAGCAAATTTAAACGATATTATCAATTAATACGCTCCAAAATTTCGAACAGTTTCTTCTAGTGCAGGGTTTCTCAAACTTTCCGGTGTGCGTATCTCAATCATATCCCAATCATCTCATAATATTTAAGAAAAATTTATGGGACCAATTAAAAAGCAGCCCAATGTTGAACCATAATATCGGTACATTAAATCATAATAATGAGCAACTTTTCTGCAACACCAATAAAATAATAAATTCAATCTTGTTTCCATTCAAGTTGAGTCATCAAGTTAATCGTGTAATCAAGTTGAAGAAATTCATTAATAAGATTCATCTTAGCGCCATATTAAGTTGCAGCAAATTTAAACGATATTATTACTCAACACGCTCCAAAATTTCTAACAGTTTCGTCTTGTGTAAGGTTTTTTAAACTTTCCGGTGTGGATATCCCACAATATTTACAACATTTTGTGGGACCCCATAAGCAATCCGCGAATCTGACATTCGCCAAACTGACAGCGTCACATGCAAAGCAAGTTTCCATTATAAAGAAATGTATCAAAACGTTTTCGTTTTTCCTTTGTCTGTATTGTCTTATATTTTATTTTATTTCTAGATAGATTGTGTAAAAATATTTAGCAATTTCAAAATTATAATAACTTAAAGAAATGTCAACGTTGTTAAGATATTTAGCAAACCCTGCTGCAGGTCCCGAGACCTCGATTGAGATCGCGACCTACAGTTTAAGAAATTCTGTTCAAATGGTTAATCAGTAAGAGTTAAAATTCTGAAAATTTTCAAATTATTTTACTTATTTCTGAAATATATTTTGTTCTATTAGATAGATGATTCGTTTTAATGGTTTTCATTTGAATTTTTCGAAGTGAGCTTATGTCCTTTAGTTTGAGTTTCAGTATCTTTTGTCACAGAGTTAAAAGTATAGATATTTCCGTTTCCATGTTTCGAAAATTAACTTTATGCAACTTCTAAGGTTCTGAATGAAATTCAAAATTTTTAGCTATTAAGCATTGGTAAATGTTTATGGGTTATCTTTCCAATTTTAATTTATGGTACAATGTTGCATTATTATTATAAGCTTATAAGTAAAAAAAAATTCAAGACTTTTCAAAAATTTTTGTACGTAAAATTTGTGGTGAAAAGCAATGATAGTGTCTAAACATCAAGATAAATGGGTGAGCCCAACTCACCCTATAAGAGTATTTTCCGATACAATTACAATAAAAATCACCCCCACATTATAGTAATCATTATATAAATGTAAGTAAATAATAAATACACAGATTTTTATACCGAAAGCAACACTGATAGAAATTTTAAAACGTATTACACCATAATATCATTTAAAAGATTTGCAACCATAATAGGGTGCAAAGCTGAACAATATTAGCATATCTTCTTACAATTTAAAGGAATACGTGGTTAAATTTTAGTTTAAAATGTAGTGTACACTATTGAAATTGAGATTTGACATGATCGTGGACTCATTAAGTATTTGAAACTATAAAGAAAAGTAGTAGTTACATTGCTGAGTGGTCTCCAAAAGAACCACATAATGCCAAATAATAAAAAACCACATAATAAAAATTATCTTGCTTTCCACGAAATTATGAAAAATTTGAAATGAGAAAAAATTACCATTTTAAAGGTTTTCATTTTAAAGAACGGTTCCTATCATCTTAAACTTTTCAAAAAGACAACTTTATGATTTTCATTCAGTTATTAGCGTATCATTTAATGGTTTCGTCTCTCTTAAATATAATAATTCAATTTTAATTCATCGAGTGTAAATAATAAAATTATTATTCATTGTAATGTAGCAGTTGAATGTTTTTTGCAAGTAGTATTCGTAATTATAAACTGGAGCATAAAATAGACAACAAAATAATCATATAATTATTAAAGATATTATAAATTTATTACAATTAACAAGCACATTTCTGCAAAAAATTTTATTATATTATAAAGTGCATAACATATTTTGTTCTTTAAATTATAAGTAAAACAGTATAATTCAGAGCTATCTAGTAAAAACGGTATTAAGCTATTGACCCGACAATAAATAAATCGAGGAAATGATCGATGCTTTAGGTGATGACCACTGACCACTTTTCAGGTCAGGTGTAATCAATCAAACCCTCCAAGGGAGAAATATTTTTTGAATATGTTTTGCCATGAATTTACCAACTCTGTTTATGCATTTAAAAAAATCAACTAAATATTTTTTAACGATTTCCAAGACACGGGAAACAGTAATTTATTGTATTCATTTAAAGAGATATCATAGTGTTAATTATAAGACTCTTAAGGGGATTCGAGACACATAATAAAAAAAAATTAAAAGAGCATAGGTTCCTTTGAATACGATTATACTATTTAATAAATTAATCAAACATTTTCTCATATTTTGTAATTGCGTTAGAAAACACTACATTTTTCATTTTTGATATAAATAAAAATACCATAATTTAATGTGATTTTCATTATTTTAAATAAAAAATATTCATGCTTTAATTTTTTTTTCAACAGTTTTTGATATCTACTGTTTTTAAAACAATAAACACCGTAATGAGCACGGAATAATTCAAAAAGAATTTTTATGCCTCATACTCATTTCTGAAAAGAACATAACTTTTTCAGCATTAGGAAGAGAAACAATTGTATTATTTATTTGAGTAGTAATAGTAGAAGTTTCTCAATTTTCAAGCTTTCTATGTCTCGAAATCACTTCAATTTAAGACATGATTTTTTAAATATTCGAAAGAGAATCAATTGCATTGTTTATTAGAATAGTAGTAATAAAAGTTTCTCAATTTTCAAACTTTCCATGTCTCGAAATCACTTCAATTTAAGACATGATTTTTTAAATATTCAAAAGAGAACCAATCGCCTTTTTTATTAGAATAGTAATAGTGAAAGTTTCTCAATTTTCAAACGTTCTATGTCTCAAAATCACTTCAATTTAAGACATGGTTTCGTAAATATTCGAAAGAAAACCAATAACATTATTTATAAGAATAGTAATACTAAAAGTTTCTCAATTTTCAAACTTTCTATGTCTCGAAATCACTTCAATTTAAGACATGATTTTTTAATGTTCGAAAGAAAACCAATCGCATTATTTATTAGAATAGTAATAGTAAACGTTTCTCAATTTTCAAACTTTCTATGTCTCGAAATCACTTCAATTTAAGACATGATTTTTTTTTAATATTCGAGAGAGAGAGAGCCAATCGTATTATTTATTAGAATAGCAATAGTGTCTCAATTTTCCAACTTTTAATGCCTCGGAATCACTTTAGTTAAAGACATAAATTTTTCAGCGTTCGGAATAGTTATAATTTATTTGAATAGTAAGAGCAAAAATTTCTTAATTTTCAAGCTTTTTCATATTCCGGACTTACTTTAATTAAAACCATAACTTTTTTAGCTGTCGAAATAAAATCAATAGTATTATTTATTAAAATAATACAGTGAAGCACCGTTCTTATGCTTCTCATTTATACGTCGTTTTATTGTAGTCTCAATTCATTCTTAACTCTTCTCTTGAAAAGAATTTTTATCCTTATTCGAAATGAGTGAAAGTCAAAAAAAGTGTAGGCGTTGAGAATAGAGTGCATAGCATAGTAATTAGACTGATTGCTGAAAAGGACTGCTGATATTGTTTTCTGTATCAATAATATTAAGTGTCAAATTAACATTGCTATTACGTTATCAAAATTATTATTTTTACGATGAATTTCAATTGATTTGTTTAATTTTCAGTTATACTTCTCTTAATTTAGACATCAGTTTACATTGATCTCCTATAAGACGTATAAAAGGAGCTTCACTGTAATAATTTTTAAAAAAAATCTCAATTTTTCCAATTTTTATGTGTTTTACTTACTTAAAAAAGAAAAGACCTTTCGTTTGACAAATCAGCCGATTTTGAAATTGAACTGGAATATAAGAAATAGATTTAAAATGATCTAAGAATATAAAAGAACTTTAAGGGTTTTTGAAAATTCTCCCTCCTGAAAAGGAAAATTGAATAAAACAATAAGAAATTTTAAAAAAATACCGGCAATCAGGGTGACGGTACTTTTGACCGTAATTTAATCCGAATTTTTTACAGTTTACGAGTCGGTTTTCAACTCTTTATAAAAAGAGAGCAAGTTTAAGTTGCGTATTTAATCAAAAGTGAATTGATTGATTTAAACTGTATTTAATATTAGAAACAGCATTTGTTTTGGTCATATATTAATTCATTAAAAAAATGAACAACGCTTTGCTATTAATTAAAAAAAAAATGCATAATTTTTGGAATAAAAAATGGAATGGAAATTGTAAAACACTATTTGAATGTCAAACAGAATAAATAACTGCTATGAAGAGATAACGAAGTGTATTTTTGTTGTTAAAATGTTATAAAATAATTAAAAAAATGTATTAACAGATATTTTTGAAAATAATAGAATTTTATTTTTTATACATCCCTCCAATCAAGAAGTTTTCAGTTTTTTAGTTTTTTTTTCAATGAGGGAGATAAGGAAGAAATTTCACAATAGGGAAAGAATATATTTTATTTTTACTTAATTAACTACTTAATTACTCATATCTTTATAGCGAAAGATATTTTTAATGTACGCAGT